CGTGCACTAAAAAATAATATTTATAGATGTTTGACCTGTAGGGCTTTAAGTTCTTTAGATACAGCTTCTTGCCACCCCAGTCACCCTTTTTCTTCCTCCAAATCCAACACTGGATTTACCAAGACAGGTAGGCCAATCACAGCAGCAAACTCCAAACTTAGTTTCCTACTCAATAATCTATTGCTTTTCTGCAAATCTGCCAAGGAAGAAAGGTATATGAGGCACTGTCAGCCACGCTGGCCAGGTAGCAGGACAGCCTTCAAGGTACAACAAAGCATATGGGTTCTGAAAATACATGAAGGTCACTGGGATGTTTTCCAAGGACTTGTTGTAGAGGACAGCTGTGAAAAAACCACCAGGACCACAGTTGCATTTAAGGAGCATACAGGTAGCTGCAGATGAATGTTCAGAAATCCTTCATTATCTCAAATGTGGCATGCAGTGTTTTAGAAGGACTATTTACGAACCAGATCAGAACAGATGAACAGAAGCAAGTGATGAAAAGCAGTATTTTATTTGGCACTGACAACCTCACAAAAATCATGTAGAAAAATAAAACCAAAACAAGAAAATCTAACCAGTGATTCAGTGTCAACCAGATGGAAGCTCAAGAGAGACTGTATGAATGGAAAACAATTAATTAAGCATTAGCGAAGGCTAGCATTTTTTTTTTTCCCCTCTTTGTCCGTACCAGCTGTGGGACTTTAGTTTCCCCACCAGGGATTGAACTGGTGCCCTCTGCAGTGACAGCACGGAGTCCTAACCACTGGACTGCCATGGAATTACCAGGAATTCATTTTTTGATCACTCATTAGATCAAGGGATGATGGCTTTCTTTTCAAGTTTTCAAAAATGCATGGCATGTTAATTAAGATTAGGCCTGCTTATGTTGAGCGAAAAAATACACACAACCTAAAAGCTGAAAGCTATGTTTTATCCGGCAGAAATTTTTAGGACTTAAGCTCAGGAGGCAGCATCTAAAGTAAGCCTGAGAGTAGTGGGAGTGGTGCTCCGAGGAGGTGGGTTGTGGGGAGGAGCCAGGTTATAAAGAAGTTTTGCAACAAAGGACAGGTGGTCTGAACCTCAAAAGTATTTTTTTGTGAGTTAAAGAAAACCAGATATCCCAAGTTAAAGAATTTAGCACTTTTCTGTGTAGGGAAGTTGCAAAAGTCCAGACTCACTGAAATAATTCCTTTGATATACATCTCAGCTATCTGGGGCCAGTATCCTGTTTTCACCTCCTGAGTTCCTCAGGGCTTATCAGAGGTAGTGGCTACAGTCTGATGGCTGCTAAATAGCAGGTATACTCCTCCCTGAGTTCCCTCCGGGCTCACTGGCTCACCACAGGAGGGCTGCAATTGCTTATGACTGTGATATCTTTGTTTACTAGTATGGCAGGAAGTATTCCATTTCTCAGTTGTAAGCAATAGAAAGCGCACTCTAACAGTAATGACCAAGATAGAAGTTTGTTTTTCCTGTACAGACATGCGATCTGGAAGTAGGCAGTCTAAAGAAACTATGGCAGCTGCAGGAAGCCCCAGTCTTGCTGCTCAGCCAGTCTTTAAGCCTTTACATATGCCTTGCCACCATCCAGAAGAGTATAAAGAAGTGAATATTCTCTTCCTATAAGAATCATCCTAGAAATCAGGTGCTTCCAACTACCTTCTATTCTTGGAACTTAGTCACATACCCATTTACTAGCTGCAAAGGAGGCTTTAATTTTTATTTGGTGGCCCTGTGCCTACGAGAATCGGGAGTTTTGCCACTAAGAATGGGTCCAACCACCCACTCCATACTAATTTCACAGATTTTATATTAAGCAATGAAGTCTATGATAACTGCAGCTTTGGAAAACTCCATGAACCCAGTGATGAGCACATAGGTCTCCACATAGATCTCTGAATTTCTTTTTTTTTTTTAGGTTAATTTTTATTTGTTTCTGGCTGTGTTGGGTCTTTGTTGCTGCACATGGGCTTTCTCTCTGTGAGGAGTGGGGGCTTCTCATCTCGCTGGCTTCTCTTGTTATGGAGCGCAGGCTCCAGGGCACAGGGGCTTGGTAGTTGTGGCAGCTGGGCCTAGTTGCCCTGAGGCGTGTGGGATCTTCTCGGACCAGCTATCAAACCCTTGTCCTCTGCGCTGGCAGGCGGGCTCCACCACTGGACCACCAGAGAAGTCCTCGAATTTCTTTTAGATCTTTGCTCTTTTTCAATTGGACTTATAATTCCAGTTGATATCCCATCTTGGAAGATGTTCAGAGATAAAGCTATGTGTAATTTTCTAGGAGCAGGAGAAAAATGCCCTCTGGAGAATTTTAATATGTTTGGCATTTCTCTCAGGAATATGAAGTGGACAACCACTCTATAAATGATCTATCACATGCCCTACAGGAATGCAGGCAGTTATCTTTTCCCTGGAAACTAATATTTTAAAAAAGTTACATGGTAATTATATATTTTTTCTGATAATATGGTAAAGTTATGTATTTAAGCAACAAAATCCATACTATTATTCATACTATGTTCCACACACACATGCTTCTGAATTTTCCCTTTTTATCTCAGTCCTTCCTTGGTAAAGGTGCCAAGTTTTGTCTTTGTTTTCAGCATAGCTAGTTTTTCCAAGTGCTTCTATGATATCGCTATTCAGAGTGTTGGTTTATTTCTTTTACTCTATCTATCCTTCATCATTTATTAATGACACAGATTGTGTGATGAAGAGTTGTCAACATGAGCATTTTTCTATACTTACAGGTATAAGAACTGCATTGATGTGGATTTGTCATCTAACAGCATGAAACGATCCCTCTCTTTCGGCTGCATTTCCTTCCATTATTTACTGTTCCTCCCAACTGCTTATTATCCACTGCTGTTGACTCGGGTCCTTAATTTCCTGAGATGGATTTCCACTTAAGAGACTGAGAAACTATTAGATGGAGAGTTTTCACAAACCACCAGAGCAGAAGGTCTTCTGAAAAGAGACATATCCTCCCACTATGGATTCAAGAAAGACAGAGGCATTTTGTCTTCACCTGATGAACCCAGTGTCTATCAATGTGAAGAGGGCAGAAATGCATTTGAACTGAGGGAATCTACCAGCACAATCTCATTAACACAAAGACAATAGGAGCTAAGAGCCTAAATTCCCGTGCCCTGAAAACGGAAGTGGTTATACTTCTAGTCTAATATAAAACACGACCTCCTATGTTTGAGTTGGAATTTTCATAACTGTTTAGTCTGTGAGTTATTCTAAGGAAAGCCAAAAGCAAAGAAGAAAATAATACTGTTATCTCCATAAAGCATTTTAGCAACGGTCAGACAAGTGGACTACCAGATTATTTATTTGGAAATTAGCTAGTTAGCTATATTTTCAAATTATGCATGTATTGGTAGTTTTCTGCTGTAATTGGCAAGGCCACTATATATCTTTATCTTTGCTATATATAGAATGCTGTACAGGAAAATAAGACAGCATTTCCTCTCATGGTAACATTTTGGAGCTAACAATGTTCACTAGTGTAAAAGTATTTTCTGATCAAAACAATTGCTCTCATATATACATTTGTTGGAAGATTACATGATATGTTGAAGATGATGTTATTATGGATTTGTTTTCATTTAATTTGTAATTACTTCCAATGTTTAAAAGAATACAAATGACTTCTCAAAAGAAAAATATAATATTACCACACCCTATATACTTTTCACCAATTATTCATCAATGATAAATTACACGGATTGATTACTGAACTAAGCACTACCAACTAAATTGTTACTATGCATTGTCAGGTGCCTTTTTATTAAATTTTTATTGTATAGGATACATAAAGCCAGAGTTGAGTGGGGCCATATTTCTGGAAAGAGGGTGAGATTTCTGGATGGCAGCTCAAATGCTCAAGAATCTGCCTGCAATGCTGGAGACCCCAGTTCAATCCCTGGGTCAGGAAGATCCCCTGGAGAAGGGCATGGCAACCCACTCCAGTATTCTTGCCTGGAGAATAGCATGGACAGAGGAGCCTGGAGGGCTACAGTCCATGGGGTCACAGAGAGTTGGACACGACTGAGCGACACACACACACACACACACACTTGCCTCACAGTCCCTTATTTAAAGACTTTTTTCCTGTTTACGCTGTCTCTCTGGGAAATCTTATCCAATCGTATGGCTTGAAAGACTCCTGGGACTCCTACAAGTTTGACTCTCTCTAGCCTTGATCTCCCTCTGTGAACTGCTTAGTCACTTGCCTGATCTCCACCTAGATTTCTTTCCTATTTCTTTTTTTTGTGTGTGTGTGGGGAAGGTGTGCTATACAGCTTGTGAAATTTTAGTTCCCCTACCAGGGATTCAGTCCCAGGCCCTGGCAGAGAAAGTGCCAAGTCCTAACCACTAGACCGCCAGGAGAGTCCCTCCACCTGAATCTCTAAAAAGCCCTCTTCAAGCTATCTCAAAATAAAATTTTATTTTCCTCACTAAATCTGCTCTTCCCTATCTTTTTCATCTTTGTAAACTGATACTAACATTCACCCAAACAGTGTGTGTGTGTGTGTGTTAGTCGCATGAGATGCAACAAATTGGGTTTGATCCCTGGGTGGGGAAGATCCCCTGGAGGAAGGCATGGCAAACCACTCCAGTATTCTTGCCTGAAGAATCCCTTGGACAGAGGAGCCTGGCGGGCTACTGGGCTACTCTGGTGTTGCAAAGAGTCAGACATGACTTAGCAACTAAACAACAAAAACAAAACATTTCCTACAGCTTCCCTCCACACTTAAATAAAATCTAAACTTTATTACCTGGTCTACAAATACCTCCATGATCTGGATGCTGGGGCCCCTGCCTCCTCTGGCTCCCCAGCAGAGTGAATTACAGTCCTTTGGCCTTCCTTCCTTTAACACACTGTAGTAGGCAGAATAATGGTCCTGAAAGATGGCCACATTCTAATCCCCAGAAACTGTGACTATGTTACTGTGACTAAGTTAAGAATTAAATCAAGATAGGAACATTACCCTGGATTAGCTGGGTGGGCCCATTGGAATCAGAAGGGTCTTCGTAAGTAAAAGAAGGAGGCAGCGCCAGAATGATTCATCATGAGGAAGACTGGATGGACCACTGTGGATTCTGAAGATGAAGGGAACCTGAAACCAAGGAATGCAGGCAACCCTTAGAAGCAGGAAGAGGAAATACATTCTCCTCTAGAAACCCAGAAAGGAATGCAGACCTGTGGATGTATTGATTTTAGCCCAGTGAGAACCATTTTGGACTTCTGAACCCCTAAACTATGAGCTACTAAATTTATGCTGTTTAAAGCCACTGAGTTAATTTGTTACAGCAGCAATAGGAGACTCATACACATGTCAAGATCATTCCCACCTTAGGGCCTTTACAAAGGTTGTTCACCAGTTGCTCCTTCTGCCTGAAGTGCTCATCTCCCAAATATAGGCATTCTGAACATCCCCCTATCATTTGGGTCTGTTTAAACTGCACCCTTTCATAAAGGCCTTCTCCAATTACTCAAAGTAGCTTCCTTGTTACTCTCTCTCACTGGCTGGACCTGTTATATTATCATCATGGCACTTATGTTACTTTTCTATGTCACTGGAACCACAAGGAAAGCTGAAACCTTGTCTCTCACTTTCCTTGTAACAACCGGTATCTAGAATAATGCCTAGCACAAAGTAGAAGCTCAATAAACATTGTCTGGAATAAATGAATGAACATTTTTTCCATGCAAAGCAACGGACATACACTATACCACTGAATCTTTTTAACAGCCTGATGGGATAGGTCCTTATTACCATTTTATTAGACATAAGTCATGAGAACAATGTAAGTAGGACTCCTTTGGGTATGTCAGTTGCTCAGTGGTGTCCAACTCTTTGCAACCCCATAGACTGTAGCCTGCCAGGCTCTTCTGTCCATGGAATTCTCTGCAAGAATACTTGAGTGGGTTGCCTTTTCCTTCTCCAGGGGATGACAAAAGTCTTTACAGGAGACAAAAAGAAGAGCAGTCACCAATGTGAATAGATGCAGAGACTGGAGTGCTGTGGCCACAAGCCAAGGAAGCCCAGTAATGCCAACAACCAATAGTGGCTATAAGAGACATGGAAGGATTTTCTCCTCACAAGTTCCAAAGGAAGTGTGGCCTTGGCAACACCTGATTTTGGACTTCTGGCTTCCATTTTGAGGTATATGTTACAGTATCCACAGGAACCTGATGCAGAATTCACAGTGCTTTGTGTTCTTTCCCTTTAAGTAACCACTACAACTAAAAATCATTTCCAGTGAGTTTGATTCTGCCGATCAGAGAGTTCTTAGTAAATGAGAACACAGCATTTTCCTGATTTATTTATTGGGGTGCATAAGAGAAGGAGTTGATGTTCCTACAGGGTCTACGGGGGTAAGAAGTCCATTCATGGAACTATCACTGCCACTGTCAGAAAACACTTAAAGGGAGAACTGGGGACGGAGAGAATCTAGCACGTGGGGCAATGGAAGGCAGGACCCCCGCCCCTCGCCACTTTTTCCTTGCTAACCTGACCCTCTTCCCACAGTTGCCCTGATGATGGTCGGGCAAGGTCTGGGGTCAAGCAAAAGCGTGCACTCTCCAGACAAGCCAGCTCAGCCACTCTGACCCTCGGCAGCTTGGCTGAGAGGTAGTGAGAGAGCTCGAGATCGGGTCTCCGGTAGGGGGGCTGAACCCCCAAAGTCCCCACTCCCGGGCCGGCGGTGGCGAAGGGGGTTGGGGCTGAGTGCCCTTCCGGGGGCGACCGACCTGCGGCTCTGGCAAGCTCTCCCGGGACGCATCGGTCCTCTGTCTGTGGGCATCTGCTCGGTGCCCAATCCTCAACCCATTTCTTGGGGGTAAAGCTTCCCCGCTACGGGGGCGCAGCTTTCCTGAGGAGGCTGACGAGCTCGCCTAACTCTTGAAGCGCCGAGAGCTCGGAGACCAAGCGCGGCCTCCCCTTCCCCCAGCGTACACGTCAACGCCGGCGTCTAGGAAGCGTCGTAATGTCTCGAAGAGGCTCGCCACCCACAACCCTGCAGCCCGCCGCTCCAGCTGCCGACGGAGAAATCGCTGACCCAAGAGCACCCTGACCCTTCCCGCAGGCTCAAGGCGAATCAAAAGAGAATTTTTCCGCAGATGTACTCCGGGAGGGCGGGTTGCTGTGCCTACAGGGCGGGTTTGTTGGAACCCGTGATGGAACAAGTAGGCTGTGGCGCCTCACGTCACTCCCCGTCCCTGTCATTTTTAAGGTTCCTCAGGTCTCGATTGCGGCGAGTTTGTCAGCCTTACCCGGCAGCCAGCTTTCCTTCCCTAATTGCCAGTGCTTGCCGGTTTCGCCCAAACGTTCGCTTTTGAGCGTTTGCGCTTGGGAGGCGCGGCTAGAACCGCGGCTTTTTTTTTCTGTGCGCTTCTATTAGGGGCCGTACGGTAGTGATGGCGGCGCTCAGTGAGACTTTCCTGTCACTGGATACTACTACTCCCAGCCCTCCTCAAAGCCGCTGGAGCAACCCCCGGGTCTTTAATTTACAAGTAGCAATTTGACTTGCTCTGCTGCATGTCAGGTGGGAGCTTGGAAAGTGTGGAGAAGCCCCGGGGATTAAGCGATCGCAGCTTAAAAAGAAAAAAAGCCAAGCAAATAAACAAAACCCACCCACCCTAACAAACATGAGGCTGTTGGAGAGAATGAGGAAAGAATGGTTCATGATTGGAATAGTGCTGGCGATCGCGGGAGCGAAGCTGGAGCCGTCCATAGGGGTGAATGGGGGTAAGTGCTCCACCTCTGCATGCCCCGCCGCGGTTCCTACTTCAGAACTAATTTTCGAGTCTTGGGCAGGAGGGGGAGACAGGAATTGGGGAGTGTCTTCCTCTCTTAGGGGCACTGACCAGCCCGTTGTGTCTTTTGGCCTTTTAGCTGATTTTTCAATTTGCCAGCCCCAGAGAGGATTCATAATTAGGAAGGAGGCAAGCGAATTTGAACGCAGGTTGCCTTTGCCGCGAACAATCAATGAGAATCCTTAGTGTCAAGCAGTGAGGTTACCGAGAATGAAACTTATCCCTCCTGCCTTCAAAGTAGCATCCTATCCCAAGGGACGCTAGGTTGCCAGGAGTTCCTTATCTGTCTCGGCGTGAACACCATTACCTTGTCCGTTTCCGACACTCCCCTCCCCCAGGTTAAAAAAGGCAAGGTGGGCCGGTGGCGAGGGGAGAAAAAGGGATACCCTTTCCTCTTCCAACTCAGATTTGGTGGCCCACATGTCGGAGGGTGGTGTTTTTCCGCAGTTGCTGCCGCTCCGCAAACTCCCAAGCCGACTGACACGTTGCACTCACTGCTTCCGTGTACGGCCGGCACAGTGGTTACCCTTAGCAGTTTCACAGATACGGGCTGTGTTAGACCCTGTGTGCTGTGTATTTTGGCAAGGAAATGTAGGCGGGCTTAAAAATCACACCCAGATCTCTGAATAGTGGAATCCTTGTCCTGTGTGGACGGGCATTGGTGGAAATGACTGGAAATAGCGTTAGCCTTTCCTGTCCCACCACCCCTCCTCCCACACTTAGACAAGCATGTCCCACTTTTCATAAATGTTAATTGAATTTGTTTAGTTCATTGTCTGCTTGACCTTGTTTGGCAGTTTTCATGCTTATTGACAGGTTTTACACACCAGCCACACAGGGACAGATAAGGACGGAAGTGAGCACACAGTCTTCATGCCAGGCTGATCACTCAGGAGGCTGTTTGAAGTTATTTGTACCTTTTTGTTCAAACATGATGAAAGTGAATGAAATGATCTCTCAGGAGAACAGCGGTTCCTTCTACCCTCTGCCCTCAATACCTCCATTTAGAGATAGCTTCAGAAAACATTTAAAAAGAATTTTTTGAACAAAGACAGTGGAGATTAAAAACTTTTTCGTTTATGTTCTTTCCTTCTCTGTTCAACTTAGTCCACAATGTGGAGGGTGTATAGCTATGAGAGTAAAGCTGTTGGGCTGGTTATCCTGCTGAAGATACCAGTTTCTCCTTTGACGTAGTTTCTCTGTGAGCTTTCTGGGAAATTTGTGAAGGCTGGTATTCAGGTTCTATACAATCATTTGAGTTGTTCCTGTAGCTTGCTGGGTAGTAAGAATGTTAGAGAGTATCTTTGTGGTGATCTCGGATGTACATTTCATTAGCTTCACTTGCAGACTTTGTAGCTTACAGTGCTAGGTCTCCGATTTGCTGAGTGTTAGGGTGAAGTTACAGGTGATGTGTGATCCTCTAAGTTGAGATCTGCAGAGACTAGGTTTGGTCTCTTACATTCCTGGGCTGCTGAGTGGGAAGGAGGGTTGTTGACTGCTGAATCATTTCCCCAGGGACAGGTGTGAGATACATTTTTGCATGTTCCCTCAGATTCTACTTAGTGAAGTTTTGGGGGTTATTCTATGTTAGAAATATTGTTTCCCATTTTCACTAGTCCCTATACCATTAATCTAGAGTTTATTTGTTTAATTATAAAAGAGGAGACAATTAAGAGCTGAGAGGGAACTTTAAATCCTTTTAAGCCAACATGCTTCTTTTACAGCTGAAAGTATTGAGACCTGAGGTCAGGTGACTCACCCTAGGTCAAGTTAGCTAGCTTAGGGAAGAGGAACGACTGGGAACCCGGACTTCCCATTATATTATACCAGTTGCAACATCCATACATTCTTGGCAATAAATCATTAAAAATGAATAACCATTACAAAGAAAGGCTCTCTGTGATAAAGACATTTTCCATACCCTGATTTTTATAGCCCCCAAAAGCTAAGCAGATTCAGCTAATATTAGACAACTGTGTATTCGTGTGATTTTTTTTTTTTTTTGAGAGAGAGATGTCCAAGTGTAAAAGTTACTGTTTCTAAAAAAAGAAGTTAAATGTTTGGGATTTGTTATACAGGCCTTCAGGATAAGTTCTCGATACTTCAATTGACCTTCCCACCTGTAAAACTTCTTCAATAAAAACAAACTTTCAAATAGTACCAAATAACACTTTGACTCCGTTAGTTAAAACAACAAAAATCTAGGACTCGGGAGAGGAAGGGTGGCTGAAAGTGGTCTGTCCTCTTGTGCTCTACAGAATGATCTAAAGTACCTCTTTTTGCTTGCCACTTGTAGTCAGAAGTTCCATTTTGGGGTCTGTACACTGGAATTCATATACATTTTTAATGCACTCACATTGACTGAGAAATTTTCAGTTGAACAGTTTTCTGTTCTCTTCAGCAGGAAGTTTTGATTGTTTTCAACTTGTTAAGAGGTTCCCTTCATCTTTACCTGGATCAATACCTTAATGACCTCACTCTATTTTGAAGTGTAAGACTTCTACACTTAAAGTATCACATCTTTGCTCTGACCTCCCTTTAAAAGCAGTCTATATAATCAATGGGTGAGTTATGTATGGCTGGAAATTTACAGAGGTGGGAACCCTAAAGTGAGAGAAGTTGAATGACTTTCCATATGGGAAAAAGTGAGACAGATACTAGCATAGATCATTTAATTCTTACTTCTCTGTTCTTTTTACTCAGTTACATTTCATTTTTAAATATATTAAAAAGTTGAAAGTGAAGAGCCACAGGAGATGTAAATGTGCAGATTTTCAGGTTTAGATACTCTGTTGCATTTCGACCCAGGGGCACCCTGAGCTCTACCCATCTTGGAGTTTACCAGAGTTCAACACTGTACTATTCATCCTAGGAGATAAAGGCTTACTTCTTTGGAAGTACTGAGTAAGTTTCTTATTTCTATTTGCATCTTTAACTGTAATTATTGCTATTAATAAGACATAGCTTCTAAAAAAGAAACTGCTTCATTTTTCCTTTAAGAAAACATAACCAGAAACATGTTCCTGCATAAACTTAAGAACATTACCATGAACACCTTAAATGAAGTTTAGGAATGAAATTCACTTGATGATAGTAGTTTTATGAAATAATAGTTCCTTGCATTCTTAAACATTCCAAATCATTTTCTTTCTCCCCACCTCTATTCCCAAATTTTAAAAAATATGAATTTGAAGTCCCAAAGTTTTTTATGGTTAGTTTTTCTTTTGATGTTGCCACCCCATCCCATTTTCACTGAGAAATCTCTTTTTATTTTTTCGCTTTGGTTTAAGGAAAAGTTCAAATTTACATTTCTCCTTTGCTCTTTATAGCCATCTCAAGATCTGAACCTGGTTATTTTCATGACTTGGAAGATATAATTATGACCTTGGAAAGAGGCCAAATATCATTCCACAACATACTTTCAACTCTCATCTCTGTGCAAATATTTACCAGCTTTTAATTTCAGCCCTGCCAGCTTTTAGTTCCTCATTCACACAGTGGACGATCCATTAGCAGCTTTAGGTTTCAAAGGGGCTTCAGGTTTCTCCAAATTAGAATTGATTCCTCCTTCCCTTTTAAATGGTACATTGTCAGTGGACCTAGAATAACCTCACCAGGTTCTTTCATGGATCAGAGTTATTTAGATCTGCATCTAATAAAAAAACAGTACACATTGTTTTTAGGATTTAAAACATGCAAAGTGAAGGATCAGTCCACTGAATTGTGCCCATTAGTTAATAGTTATGATATTTATCTATATATGTCTGTGTGTGTGGAGTGTGGGAAGAGTTAGCTTCTTAAAAAATTCAGGTGTTGGCTAACTAAAGTAAGCTTTAGCTGCCCAAAAGAAACGTTCAGTCCAAGTCATTGCTATGTGCTTGCTGTGGAGATGCATCTTTGGACACGTCGCCTAGCTATTGCTTGCAAATATACTGCTAATTCTGTGTGTGTGTATGTTAGTTACTCAGACTTTGCAGCTCTATGGACTGTAGCCCGCCAGGCTCCTCTGTCTATGGAATTCTCCAGGAAAGAATGATGGAGTGGGTTGTCATTCCCTTCTCTAGGGATCTTCCTGACCCAGGGATCAAACCTGGATCTCCCACATTGCAGGCAGTTTCTTTACTG